GGGCCTGGGGCGCAGCGCGGGAGCAGAGGCCGGTCCAGCAGCTCACCTCTCCGCAGCCACCTCCAGGCTCGCGATCCCGCACCCCCGTCGGGCTTCGCTCCCGTCTCGTTCGTCCGTCTCCGCCGATCTGCCACTTGGGGGCCCAGGAGGCTCTCCCGGCACTGGGCGTCCTCGGTGACGCCCCAGCGCCCTCTCCCTGTTCTGGCCCCAGGCCCCTGGGCCACCCTCAGCCACCTTCAGCCCGCCCCGTGGCGCCGCCTCTCTGCTGCTTCTGGTCTAAGCATCCCCACGCCCCCCCTTCCAGGACGATCTCTCGCCTCCATCTCCCCAAATGCACAGCGTCGACTCGGCGCTGACTTGGGTGGCAATCACGGTGGGCACTTCCCCGCTTCCTGAGGGTCAGGCGGCTCCGTGCCCGTCGCCTGCCTGCGCCCAGCTAAGGGCCGGTGCACAGTGGGGGCTCCGGTGCCCGGCTGAGTTTCGCCCCAAAGACGTGGGCAGGGTAAGAAGGAGAGCTGATTAATACTTGCAGGGGCTCTCAGAGCACCGTCAGGATTGGGTCTGGGAATCCCTCCAAGGTCAGGGGCCCGGGAAGGGCCGGGGCCTGGCTCACCGAGGACACTGCCAATTGTGAGGCTGGCAGCTCCGCACTCAGCCGCACAGGATGCCCCTGGAGGACGGCCCTGCCCCTCTCTGGCGACTTCTCCAGCCCCGCCCGACACCTCCTGCCTGCCCCCTTCCCTACCGCCAGCCGGGAGGCCCTCCTGGACTGCCTCGGAGCCTCGGGGAGGGCGCCGACCAGCCCAGCTGGGGGCCGGGGCGGCGTGTCGGGTGGGTCACGGCGCAGGACGGACTCTGGCCGCTGACCGCCAGGGGGCAGCAGAGGCCGCCTCTGCCGATCTTGGGGAATTAGGTCGCCGTCTAATTCTGTCAAAGTCCCACTGTGAGTGGCAGGGCAGGCAGGTTTGCAGCCTTGTGTGGTTCTGAAAGCAGTTTTCTTCCAGATTTTTTTCTTCCCAGGGCTACTCTTTCTTTCTAAGTAACTTTCAGTCCATTGTAACTGTTCCAAGTTGTTTGACAGTTAGTCAGTTGCTGTATGGCTTTAAATTGAGGTCAAGGCCAGTATCTGACGATTCTCCGGGTCCCTCCATATGCTCCTTGATGTCCCTGGCTGCATCTTGGACCCAAGATGTTCCTAGCCACCAGCACTTGGCCATCCTGCACACTCCCTGACGCCAACTGTCCAACTGCCATCTACTGTCTCCAGCTCAGCTCCTCCAGGGCCCTGGCCCAGAAGTCCTTCACTTACCTCCAACCCGCCGTCCTCCCAGCCCCCTCCAGTCTCTTACTCTCCTTACCTTCTTCCCAGTCTTCCTAAAGGCCCCTGTGGGCCCTGCGCCCTCACTTCACACACGTTTTCTACACTCGGCCTTTCCAGTTCCTACCTCTCTCTCCTCAACCAGTCAGTCGGGCTTGTCCTCTCTTCACAGAACAGCCCTGGTCAAGGTCCTCAGCAGCCTCAGCAGCCCCCACCGCCCCGGGCACCTGATGCTGGCCTGGCTCCCGGTGCCCACATTCTCCTGGGGTTCCTCCCACCTCCTGACCACTCCCGCTGGGCCCCTTGATGGTTCCGCCTCATCTCTCCCACCACCTAACAGGAATGTTCCAGCGCTCAGTCCTGACTGCTGCCGTCCTCTGTCCAAACTCACCTCCCCCATGTCACCCAGGCCCCTGGCTTTAAGTACCACCCACTCCCTCTGCCCCCCAGATCCAAAGCTCCAGCGCTGGCTACTCTACTGAGCTCGGGTCACACACTCGGCAGTCAACTGGGCATCTCTACTTTGACGTCCGGTTAGTGTTTTAAACATTTCATTGGAAAAACTGATCTCCCTTCCAGCCTTTTCCTCCCCCAGCCTCCCTCAGTGGATGCAGTGGCAGCTCAGTCCCTAGATGGGCTTGGGGTCACCCTTGACTTGTCTCTGTCCCTCCCCTTACCCAAACCATCAGGAAACCCTGCCACCTCTACCTTCAGGACAAGCCCAGCGTCTCTCCCTAGGCTGAGCCCCTCGACATGTCTGCCTGACTACTGCAGTAGCCCTGTGTCAGGGTCACCCTTGGCTCCCCAACCCCCACCCGGAGTCTAGTCTCAGTGCAGCAGCCAAAATAATCAATTTGAAACTTAGAGTCGCTATTGAGTCGGTTCCTGCCCCTCCTGTGTTCAGGACCCTGCAGGGCTCTTATCTTTCCCAGAGAAGAATCCAAAGTTCTCATGGTGTCTACTAGGGCTTTGCACAGGCTGATCCCTCTGGCTGGGACGGTTCCCTGCAGTCATCCGCATGGCTTCCTCCCTTTCCAAACCTCTCATCACAGGTTTTTTTCTCAGCGAGGCCCAGCCTGAACCGCCTCCAGGCCCTGTTTCCACTGCCCTTACCTTGCCATTTTCACTCTCTACAGTACTAGGCATCTTCCAACAAATGATATAACTTACTGATTCTGTTTCATGTTTCCAGTCTGAACCCAGTGCCCCACCCAGAACGTAAGCTCAAGGAAGGCGGGGTCTTCACCCTCGCTGCGGGTGCAGAGGTGCTGGAAGAGGGCCTGGCACAGGGGGAACCTTAAGGACAACGCGCTGGGTGAATGAATGGATCTCTCCTCCGCTGGTAGGCGAATGTGTGCTGTGCACACAGGTGAGTGCGGAGGGGGCAGGGGAAACACGGCCCAGGCTTTGGTGCCTTTTCCTGATCTATATTTACTTACTTTTCCATACAAGTGGCCATAAGAAAAGCAGTGAAAAGAAATACAGGAGACTTTGGGGCTGGGCTTTCTGGCTGTTCTATCTTGTTAATATTCCAAGCAGAACAAGTGGGGGGGTTTGGTGTTTTTTGTTCTGTTTTGTTTTGTTTTTTTAAGAGAAGTTTTTTTAAAAGCAAAAAAGAAGAAAAAAGACCTGGGAAATTCTTCAGAACATACAAAAATGCTTAAAGATGACCAAGGGCCTGCAGACCTGTCCTCAGAGAGGCCCAGTGTCTGGGGCTTGACCGCTCAGGGTGAAGGTTATTCATTTTCGGTCCTGTGGACGCTTGGTTTTGGCTATAATGTGGAGGCTGCCCTGCCTGCTGCCTTCCCCCGGCACCTGCTGCCCACTGGCCAGGCTGGACGAGACCTTGCTGGGCAAATAGAGATGGCTGGCCTCCCAGGGCCAGGGTCCTTCCTCCACCCCGCTGTGTGTGGCAGGGATGGTGGAGGACAGCTGGGGAGCTACCGTCAGCGCGTCCCCCTGCTCTGCGAGGCCTGCTGCTGCTCTGGCCTGCAGCCTTCTTTGGATGGAGGGAGTGTGAGAAAAGATCCAGGGGCTGTCTGCAGAACGCACCCTGCCCGGAACTGCTTCCCACTGCCCAGGAGCCCATGGTCCGAGGCAGGGCTATAGCCTCATCTGATGGGGAGGAAGCAGAGACCCCGAGGGCAGCCCTCACGCCAGGGCACTCTGGGCTGCAGCCACCTCCAGGCAGGTGTCCAGCTCTGTTCTGGGGCCACAGGCCTCCTGGTGAGTCCCCAGGCTGGACCAGGCACCAGCGGCTGATGGGAATGAGCTCAGGAAGCCCCCTCTGTCTGGCTGGCAATGCCATGGGTCCAGCAGCCACCAGCTTCAGGAAGTTCTTTCTTCAGGGGTTTCCCATGCTGGCAGCCGCCTTACCAGTTCAAACTGGATTTTTCCTGCTGCTCTTTCCTCAGCGGCCTAGCTGGGCACAGGGTCTCTCCTAATGAGGGTTTGGTGCCAAGACCTGGGCAGCTCCATCCCGCTGGGTCCCAGCTGGTTCAGGCCTGCCCCGGGCAATGGGCAGCCTCCCAGCCCCACCCGGGGCCAGGGCACCTGGGGCTGCCCTTGCGTCCTTGCAGTCTGTGCCCCACCTTGGGTGCCCCCACTCAAAGCTCAGGCCCTACACATGGGACTCACTACCCCACCTTTATTCACCATGGGTTTTACTATTAATACAAAGACCAGCCTGACAGGGCACAGGGCCCTGCACTTTTGTTTCCAGATTCAAGGCATTGATGAGGGCTGACAAGGCAGCCTGGGAGGGCAGGGGGCCCTTCTGCACGGCTTCCGAGCTGCCCCCAGCTCAGACCCTCTCTGAAGCTGCTGGAGATGCACCTCACGTTGCCTCCTTCCGGAGGCCTCTCTCTGTCCCATTTCCTGGGGCCTCATTAATTCTTCCCCACCTCACCCCTGAGAAAGCAGGTCTGTGCTGAGCCTGGCCTGGGCCCAGAGCAGGGTCTGAGCACGCACACCACTGGTTGGTTTGGGAGGCAGGGGGCAGAGTGGGGTAGGGGACTCGCCTGTCCCTGCCCTCATCCAGGGAAGAAGCAGGAGGGCGCTCTATCACCACCCAGGTCCCAGTTCTCACTCCATTTTCCAGGAACCCAGGGACCATGGAGACCAAGAATATAAAACACAGCTGGTCTTATGTATAATATTTATAAAAGGGGGCTGCCAGGCAGTCTCTCCACCCTGTCCCAGGCTGGCCCCTGGGGTCGTAGGCTCCCAGAGGCAGAGACATTCTGGGCCCCAGCCTCTCTCTTCTCCCAGCCATGGAATGTGAGTTACAGCCCAGGCTCGGGGTGGGGGGAGTCCCAGCCTCCCCAGGACTGGTGAAGGTGCATGGCAGGGGTCCCTTGGGGGTATCCACACCAACTTCACCCTCAAAATAGCCTGCTGGCTCCACGTATAGGGTGGGGGTCTGCTCCTGGTGGAGGGGATGGGAGAAGGGGGCAAGAGTATTCAAGGACCTGAGCCCAAGTGCCTGCGAGGGGCCTAGGGAACAGAAAGAGGGAAGGCAAGGGGGCTGAGGGAGCTGGGGCCTCAGGGCGCAGACGGTGGCCCAGCAGCAAAGTGGGGAGATGGCTGCAGGCCTGGGTTCCAGCTTTGCCTGCCCCCACAGGCTGTGTGGGCTCAGCATATGCCTCTGTGCAAGGAGGAGACCGGGCTTGGGGGAGATCTGGAGCAACAGGAGGGGAGCAGGGGTACATCCCCACTCTGCTCCCAGCTCAAGAAGGCCCTGCAGCCCAGAAGCCCAGCAGGGTAGCGGCCCAAGGGCCTTGGTCCTGGCTCTTTTTAAAGAAACCTTCCACAGAAGACGTGGGGCAGGGCCAAATGCCATCGTGTTAACCATGCCTTTCTCCTGCCCCCTGACTGGCCACTGGGTGCGAGCTGGGGCTCAGGAGTCTGGGCAGGGGCACTGGGAGGAGTAGACAGAGCAGGATGGGTTGTCCTAGTGGCTCCCTCCATGCCGGCTGGTCCCTGAGACCCAGTCAATGATGATGAAGCTCAAGCTCATGGTCATCATCAAGAAGCCAAGTGCAGCGAAACAAAGGGCCTGTGGGGTCAGAAGTCAGGGTCAGGACGGAGGTCAGAGCAGCCCCCTCATCTTCATCCCGGCCCACCGACCTCCAGGCCTCCGCACCAGGATTTTGGGGGAGGACTTCGCGGGCTCCTTCTCGGCGGGCACGATGCGGAAGTAGAAGATGGCAGGAAAGATGAAGATGAGGCACGGGGCAGACGTGGCACCTGTGGAAACAAGGCATGGCCGCCGAGTGCTCGTGGCCCCCTGTTGGCTAAGCTTCGGGGGTGGACCAGTGAGATCAAACGTCTCTTATTGGGGGGACTTCACTTGAAAGCTCTGCAGGATTCTAGGGAACCCCCCAGCCCCTCCCCTGTTCTCTGCCCAATGGGGTGGGAGGCTAGTGCCACTGGTGTCAGAAGAATCGGTCAGTGAGTGACTAGCAAAGAGGAAAGGCAAGTGACGCGCTGGAGACGGAGACTTGAGGATATTGGGCTCCTGGATATAGCTGTTCCTGAAGGCTGTTCTGTTGCTTGAGCCAAAACATTCCCTCTGCTTAATTCATTTTGAGTTGAATTTGGGATATAAACAACCAAGAGTCCTGTCTGTGATATCCCTGGTACTCAGCCCAGGCCTGTGTGTCGGTCCTCACAGAATTGGGTTAGGGAGTTAATCTCCTGAGTTGGGTGACCCTAAAGATGTCTCAGAATTGCTGATATTCCAGCTCTGAGCCCCAACTGGTCTGGGACGTGGGCAGAGTACCATGGTCCTGGGGCTGAATCCTGGCTCCCCACTTACCAGCTGCCTGGCTCTGCCACTCCCTTAATCCCTCTGAACTTCCGTTTCCTCATATGCAAAATGAGGACAAGACCCAGTGACAAGACCCTGCCTCGTGGAGGCCTTGGCTCCCCTGTGTGCCCCAGTGAGGGGAACTGCTTCAGTGGTTCTGAGCCCTCAAAAGGCGTTAGAACAGCCTTAAGTTCAAAACCTCAGATGGGAGGCCATGCTGTGCACATGGCCAGCAGCCATCACTCTAAGGTAGGGTGTGAGGCCCTGGCCGGGTGGCTCAGCTGGTTAGAGCATCACCCTGATACACCAAGGTTGCAGGTTCGATCCCCGGTCAGGGCAAATACAAGAATCAACCAGTGAGTGCAGCAGTAAGTGGAACAACAAACTTCCTCTCTCTCTCTTTCTCTAAAATCAATCAATAAAATTTTTAAATAAATAAATGTAGAGTGTGAGCTCAGGAATCTGCCAGGATTTGCAGAAGAGAAATTCTCCTGGGCAACACCCAGCAGGGCCAGACCCTCACCGATGATCCCGAAGATGCCCAGGATGTTGGGGGCGAAGATGACCAGCAGGTTGATGCACGTGAGCAGGCCAATGGCGATGATGGCGTGCCGCAGCCAGCTGAACTCCTGGTTCTGGAACAGCATCTGCTGGATGGCTCGGCGCACCTGGGCGGGGGAGTCACCGACCTGTCAGCCCCTCAGCCCCCCCCACTGGCGCAACCACCCAGCCACCTGCCCACAGGCTCACCGGAAACAGAACGATGGGCACCGTGAGTGTGACCGCGGTCAGCACGGCCACGCGCACGCACAAGATCAGCACGTCGAACGGGTCCACCTTGCTGTAGGTGTGCAGCAGCTCCGACTCCACGCCGTCTGTGGAGGCAGGGGGTCCGCGGGCTGCCCAGGCAGGGCTGGGACCCGGCCCGGCCCACCCGACCCCGGGGACGGCAAGCGCCCTGCCTCCCAGCTGGCCTCTGCCTGCCCCGCCCCTCCCCAGCCCGGTCGTACCGTAGAAGGTGAGGTAGCCGAACAGGGCGGCCAGGAAGTACATGACATACATGACGGCGATGGACAGGTTGGAGATGTGCTGCATCTTCCTCTTGGAGGGGCTGCGGGGACGGGGCGGGGCTTGGTGCCAAGCTGGGCCACGCTGGGAGGCCCCCAGGTTCCCCCAGGCCTCTCTGGCATCACGTTTGTCATGTGCACAAGGAGGCCTCATTCTTACCCCAGTCCTCACCCACAGCAGCCACAGGGATCTCTGAGAAAATGACTTGGCTGGGGTCTCACCCCCCTTGCAGGGCCACATCCACCCTCGCCCCTGCCCAACCTGCTGCCCCCTCTCCCGGCCAGGAACCTACTCCTTGAGCTCTGTATAGATGGGCAGCACCTCCGGGTGGCAGACGAAGGCGAAGGCCATGATAGGGATGGTGTATGCCGTCTGGGGGAACACAGAGAGTGTCAGCGCAGCCCCGACACTCCCCCCCCCTCCCGGGCCTGGGCCCCTACCCTGGGCCTGTCAGAACCTGTATGTTGAGTGTGAAGTAGTTTGAGGTGCAGGAGTCTGGGGCGACGGTCTTCCCCAGGAGCAGTGTCTCCTCCTCCATGACCTCCGCAAGGCTGAGGTTGCTTGTGATGTTGGCAAAGTTGGAAGGCAGTGGGCAGGGCACCTGGAACTTTTTGTAGATGACCTGGTGGGGGTGAGGCAGAGAGTATCAGGGCCTGGCTAGGCTGCCCAGAAGTCACTCTGATCTAGACCAGGACTGGGGGAGCTGCCTTCCTACAGAGGAGCCCCTAGGAGCCCTGCCACCTCCCCTGACCAGCATGGAGGGTGACTCACAGCAACTAGGAAGAATACCATGCAGCTGAGCGAGAAGCCGCTGGAGTAACCCAGGTAGCCTGCAAAGTTAGGGAAGGACGGGCTGTGAGACTGGGGAGTCCCCTCTGGTCCATCCTTCCAACATCCCCTTCCAAGGCCCTGGCCCTGTCACACTCACCAAGCTGCCGCATCAATGCCAGGGGCAGAATGATGGTGACAGAGACCAGAATCACCAGGTAGTTCCCATTCATGTACCAGTCCCTGCAGGACGGGAGTGGGGAGCTGAGATCAGAGCCCACACAGCCTCCACCCCCAGTCAGGGCCACCAGTGGCGCCACTGAGTGACCTCCATAGAATATGGGTCCACAGCTCTGAGTCTCCCTGTCCCCATCTGCACAATCGGCAGGCTCCCAGCACCCGCCTGGGTCAGGCGAGGGCTGAGACACTGGGCTCCTGCTTGGTAACCATTCCGGTCAGTCCCTGCTGTGGTTTTACTCAGGACACATGGGTCTGGGTCCAGCTTCCACAGGGAGTGACCCCAAAGGGCCCAGGGAGGGGGGTGGACTGAAAGAACCTGGCTCTGGGGGGTGGGGCATTTTCCACGGGGGTCTCGGGGACTTGCCAACAGCCTGTGCCCCTTTCGGTCCCTCCTGGCAGCTGCATCCTGCATCATCCTGCCCCTTCCCAATGGACATGGGTTGCAGGGAACTAAAGGGATAAAGGACCGACCATCCTTCAAGGACAAGCCTGAAGGCCAACTCCTCAGGAAAGGCTCCCAAGGAGGGGGTTTCTGGCTGTTTCCCTCCCCCCAGAGCTGCTCTCAGCCTCACAGCCCCTCTGCCCGCCTGAGCCGTGTTGCCAAGGGCAGGGCCTGCTGTCTTCTCTGCCCCACTCACAAATGTCAGGGATGCCATCAGGGCTGCTAAACTGATGATGGGGAACTGGGACAGCCTGGGCTTAATTTCTTGGTGGGGGGGCTCACACCCAAGCCACAGTCAGGAATAGCAGGGGCTTAGAGCTAAGCCCTCGGCCCTCGGGTCCCCCCTGCTCACAGGCTTGGCCAGGGCCAGGCGGGCTGTTTCCTCGCCCCTCCCACGTGGCTCTCCTGGGGTTCCCCTAGGTGCTTCATACACGGGGTGGACTGAATGTCAGCCCTGCTGGCAGCTCTCTGCCCAGCACCAGCCACTCATAGGGTCTCTCCCACTAGCCCAACCTGGGTTCCCAGGGCCAGGGTGGGACATGGGGGGTAGACCAGGGCCTCCCACCCTCACCCAGCCCCGCCCCACCCTGGGGCTCACGAAGTTTTCTCCTCCAGGTTCAGGAAGGTCTGGATGACAAGGGGCAGCTCGGACTTGATGATGTACAGGTAGCTGGACATGGCTGGGGGGAGAGGGGTGGGCAGGCGCTGGGGTCAGTCCAACCGGCTGTCCTCAGACCGCCCCCCGCCCGCTGTCTGCCTGTGTCCGCCCGCCGGGCCGCACCTCCGATGTTCTGCAGCGTGATGGCCAGAGCCGCCGCCAGCTTTCCCGGGGTCCCAAAGGCCCGGTAGCCCAGCTGCTCGTAGGCACGGATCCCTGTGGGCACCGGGAGTCAGGACACGCAGGAGCGCTCCTCCCAGGCTGCCCCTCCCTTGCTACAGGCTGGTCTGAAGCTCACCCACGATCCCCGAGGACTTGAGCAGCAGGTGGATGGAGTAGCTGGAGAGCAGGGCTACGGCCGTCAACAGGAACCTGGGGAGACCGACGAGAAAAGGCCGCTGGCTCCCCTGGCTGGCGGGAGGTGATGCGCCCCGGGAAGCCCGGGCGTGTGGGCTCTGTGACCAGGTGTCTGAACCCCCCACAGGTGTGGATGTTCAGCAGGCACCAGGGGTGGTGAACACCAGCCAGTTTGACCCAGAAGAGGCCCTGTAAGCCCACCTTTCCTCGAGTTCTTGGAACAAACACGTGTTCCACGTGGCTATGGGGCAGAGCTCCCAGGTAAGGACACAAGTGTCCACACAGGCCTGGCCACTGGGGTTTGTCCGTCACATGTTAATACAGGACAGACAGACCTGATAGGCTGGCCCTGTGCCTTCATCCCGGCGGGTTCCCTGGGAAGTGGTGTATATTTGTCTGGCTGTGGCTGGTTCTTTTAGCCATGGCCTGGGCTGAGTCTAAGTGCCCCCCCACTGCCACCCGGGCCTTGGGACAGGAAACTGGTGGTCCTGGGAGGTCCTGGGTGGTGGCCTGTTTGGTGCTCCATCTGTAGGAGGGTTGCAGGCAGCACTCACAGAAAGAGGACGATGCCCGTGTTAGCCATGGCGTAGGCCAGCCCCAGGATGCCGCTGCCCATGATGGCATTGCTGAGGTTGAACACCGACATCCCGAACGATGTCTTCCCATCAAACTGCAAGGACCAGAGTGGATGGGGAAGGGCAGGGGGTCAGCAGGCCTGGAAGGCATCCCAGCATCCCCGCCCCGCCTCTCAGCTTCCCATCAGCGCCCTACAACGCCTTCTAACTTCACCCCTACCCCCAGACGTGCCCGAGCCCCTCCACTGCCCCGGCTCACGTCGGTGAAGTGTGGCTCCTTGCTCGGGCTTTTCTGTAGGAAACCCTCGCCCTCAACACAGCTTCGTCGGGGGCCCTCGACCCTGCAGGCACAGGCCAGGGTAGGCAGCTCAGCTCCAGCCCTTTGCTCTGCACCCTGCCCTGCCCTGAGACATCACTGGGTCCTTCCTTTGCTCACCTCTCATTGCCTGCGCTGGGGGTGCTGGCTGGGTGGAGTCCTCCCGAGTGTTTGCCGTTGGGCACCAGCTCTACCATCTCCGTCTGCAGAGGTGCTTCCATGGCTCAGGGAACACAGGAGCCTAGTTCTCACACCGACACACTCAGGAGTCTGCAGAGTGAATGGTCCTTAGATTATTCCCCACTCCTGGGCCCATGGCCCAGCCTCCCAGAGGAAGTGTCAGCCGCAGCACACCTTCCAGAGGGTCACTCGGGACATATGTGTGCAGGCTGATCTGTCTGTGGCCTCCCTGGAATCTGCTTGTGGGAGAGGAAAGCTTGGACACCGGAGGTCTCCAGGACATCCTNGCACCAGGGGTGGTGAACACCAGCCAGTTTGACCCAGAAGAGGCCCTGTAAGCCCACCTTTCCTCGAGTTCTTGGAACAAACACGTGTTCCACGTGGCTATGGGGCAGAGCTCCCAGGTAAGGACACAAGTGTCCACACAGGCCTGGCCACTGGGGTTTGTCCGTCACATGTTAATACAGGACAGACAGACCTGATAGGCTGGCCCTGTGCCTTCATCCCGGCGGGTTCCCTGGGAAGTGGTGTATATTTGTCTGGCTGTGGCTGGTTCTTTTAGCCATGGCCTGGGCTGAGTCTAAGTGCCCCCCCACTGCCACCCGGGCCTTGGGACAGGAAACTGGTGGTCCTGGGAGGTCCTGGGTGGTGGCCTGTTTGGTGCTCCATCTGTAGGAGGGTTGTAGGCAGCACTCACAGAAAGAGGACGATGCCCGTGTTAGCCATGGCGTAGGCCAGCCCCAGGATGCCGCTGCCCATGATGGCATTGCTGAGGTTGAACACCGACATCCCGAACGATGTCTTCCCATCAAACTGCAAGGACCAGAGTGGATGGGGAAGGGCAGGGGGTCAGCAGGCCTGGAAGGCATCCCAGCATCCCCGCCCCGCCTCTCAGCTTCCCATCAGCGCCCTACAACGCCTTCTAACTTCACCCCTACCCCCAGACGTGCCCGAGCCCCTCCACTGCCCCGGCTCACGTCGGTGAAGTGTGGCTCCTTGCTCGGGCTTTTCTGTAGGAAACCCTCGCCCTCAACACAGCTTCGTCGGGGGCCCTCGACCCTGCAGGCACAGGCCAGGGTAGGCAGCTCAGCTCCAGCCCTTTGCTCTGCACCCTGCCCTGCCCTGAGACATCACTGGGTCCTTCCTTTGCTCACCTCTCATTGCCTGCGCTGGGGGTGCTGGCTGGGTGGAGTCCTCCCGAGTGTTTGCCGTTGGGCACCAGCTCTACCATCTCCGTCTGCAGAGGTGCTTCCATGGCTCAGGGAACACAGGAGCCTAGTTCTCACACCGACACACTCAGGAGTCTGCAGAGTGAATGGTCCTTAGATTATTCCCCACTCCTGGGCCCATGGCCCAGCCTCCCAGAGGAAGTGTCAGCCGCAGCACACCTTCCAGAGGGTCACTCGGGACATATGTGTGCAGGCTGATCTGTCTGTGGCCTCCCTGGAATCTGCTTGTGGGAGAGGAAAGCTTGGACACCGGAGGTCTCCAGGACATCCTGAGGGGCACCTCAGCAAGTATACACACACACACACACACACACACACACACACACCCCACACCAGCCTAGGCAAGTCCTTCAGGCCTCAGTTTCCCCATCTGTGAAGGGAGGGTCAGTTGGATGACCTAAGTTCAGAGCCCAGTGGCGCCAGGACCCTGGGATGCTGAGTCCCAGGCGTCCAGGTCCCACTCTGGTTGTGGGCCCTGGACTGACTCCCCTTCTCCGAGGTTAATACTGGGAGACGGTTTCCTGTGCGGGATCTGTGTGCCAGGGGCCTCCTAGCCAACCTAGAATGGCACAGCCCGACGGCTGGAGGCCTGGAGAAAGGGTGAGGGCTGTGGGCCCTGTTCCCAGCCACCCGGCGGGCACTGCTGGCAGCCAGAACAAAGGCCCCTCTGTGGGCTCAGAGCTGGCGCTGGGAACGGCAGGCGCAGAGGCTACCCCCTCGGAGCCAGGAGGCCTGAGGCAGTGCTGGGTGGCGGGACACCTGGGCCCTGCCTGCCTGGCTGCAAAGGGCCCTCAGGGGGCCTTCCAGGAAATAGGTGCCCCAGGGCCCAGTTCTCTGAGCCACACAGGCCTCACCCTCCACACAGCCCTGGCCTGAGGGCCATGTTTTCCTTCAAGACTCTCTTTTCCTGCTAGGGAACCCCCCCACCCTTAGGTGCCCATCTCCTGGTCTTCAAGCAGAGTCCCCATTTGCTTGAGCCCCAGGCCAGGAGCTCAGGGCCTTGGCCAGCTGCCGAGGGGCCTGGACCACTGGATCAGCCCCCCTTTCCTGCTCTTAGGGTGTGACCCTGCTGGGTCTCATAGGAACCCTGCTCTCCATCCCCCAACCCTGCTCACTGCCCAGAGAACTCGCTGGTTGGCCCCTCTCCCATCACTGGGGATGGGAACCACCCACCCACCTTATGACCAGAAGATACCTGGGCATAGTCCCCTCAGGATCTATAAGGACATTCTGATGGCCAGCCGAGCCAGCACGAGAGCTGAGGCCAGAGTGGTGACCAAGGAGTGGATGGCACTGCCAAGCAGGTCAGCCAGAGCCTAGTCTTGACGCCACGGCACCCCCTCTGCTTGGGAACCCTGAACCCTGCCCTGAATCCTCTCTCCTTACTCCAGATCCTGCTGGTCCAGTCTGCTCTTGAACCTGGAGCACAAGGAATCTCAAACTTAGCGCTCAGGACTATGCGTGGGTAGGGGAGGCTAGGAGCAGGCCTCCGGCCTCAGGCCCCTGGTCCTGGAGGCAGCAGCCACACAGAGCTGACCAGAAGACCACCTGCCTTTGCTCCAGGCTGGAGTTCAGACCCCAGGCGTGTCGATCCTGGGGACCTCGCACCTGGCACCCTTGAACCCCCTCAATCTGCCTCTCCTCCCTCTGATGCTGCAGCCGGGACCCTTCTCTCCTCCAGCCCCGCCCGCTCAGGATCATGATCAGTGGATATCTCTTCTCACACCCTCCCTCTTCCCCTGGACCAGAGTCCCTGAGGTCAGGGACTCTGCCCCAAGCCCCAAGCCCCACCATCGGCGCCCCTCCAAGATCCGTGCTGGGTGTGGAGGTACCAACAATTGGTCCCCTGAGTCACTCCAGAGTGCCCCCTGGCTCTCAGCTGGGGTTGCCCTTGCAGGGCCTCCCGTCCTGGGCAGGCTTTGACAGGCCCTCGGAGTGTGCTGAGTCAGCAGCCTAGACAAAGCACCCTTCTCTGCCTTAATATCCTTCCCTAGCAGCCGGGCACTGCCTCCAGGGAGACCACAGCCATGGCATGGTCATGGCCAAAGTGCCCGAGGTCCTGGCTCCAGGTTCCCCATCCCCCAGCAGGACCTAAGCTGAGACTTTCAGGGCCTATTACTCATAACCAGTCACTGCTGGTTTTCGGCTGGCCTGAGACCTCAGAGAGAACATGGATACCCTTCCTCAACTGGGTTCCAGTCTAGGAGTGACAAAACCCTTAAACACACCCCCTCCCATGGCTCGTGCTGCAAACTGAGTGTGAGCCGCATAATGCTGGGACTAAAAAAAACAGGGAGAGTCAGGCATCAAGGAAGGCTTCCTGGAGGAGGAGGTGACGGAGTCAGTTCTGAAATTCCAATGGGAGTAACCAGGGTGTGGAAATAGGAAAGAGTGACCCAAGCAGAGGACACAGCACGGCAAAGGCCCTGAGGTTGGTATGAGGCAGGCTGTGAAGGTGAAATGAAGGTCCCATGGCCATAGGCAAGCCCGAAAACTTTGAAGGCCAGGGCAAGGCATCTGTACTTCATTCTAGTGCAAGGCTAAGGGCTGGGGATCCAGGACAGAGATGAACACTGGCCTGGCACGTGGACCCCCAGCCATTCCCTGAGCCCATTTTTGACACTCCCATCCCTCACCTCGGGCCTGCCACCTCCCAGGTTTCTTTATGTCAGGGAGTCAGGGTCGACTTAGGGAGATCACCCCTCCCTAAGGCAAGCTGCCAGCAGACCCTAGCCCGCTGTGGGAAAAGCCCACAGTGGACACTCTAAGTCCAACGCTGACCTGGCCCTGCCTCACTGTGTGACTGTGGCCAGAGTTTTCCCCACTCAGGACCTCAGTGTCTGCCTGTCTTCCAGGAGTCTAGTGAGGTTTGGCCATAGCTGGGGACAGTGAGGAGCCTCCCTGAGGCCTTTGCCCCTGCACATGCCAGGGGCTCTCAGAGTCCGGCTCTGGGGTGGGGAAATCGCTGTGACCTTGGGTGGGTCATCAGAATAGCATCTGTCACGGGTGCAGCGTGGGCTCAGACAGTAAATCGATGGCCCAGGCCACTGCCCCAGGGTCTGTTTGTTCTGCTGGGAGATAAGGGGGGGCGGCAAGGAGCCACAGGGACAGAGCCGCAGGTAACGCCCGCCCACACGCATCACGGGGTGCGAATTGGTCAGGCGCACCTTGGCAGGTGCTGAGTTTGGCTAATTAAAGATTCCAAGGCCCAGGAATCCAGGCCATCGTGGGGCTACAGCGTATGTCAGCTGCTGTGGGAAGCACACGTGTCTGCTTCCTTCCCCAAGGACCAGGGACCAGGGACGAAAGTGGGTCTGCAGGAGCGAGCTGGCTACAGGGAGGCATCCACGGAGCGAGCTGGCTACAGGGAGGCATCCACGGAGCGAGCTGGCTACAGGGAGGCATCCACGCTGTCTATCCCTCAGTCCCGTGGCCACAAGCCTTGGTGGAGGCGGAGACCCCACAGAGCTGCCGCTGTGGCCTCTGGGCTTCTTGTGCCTGGGCAGCCCTAACCTCAGCCTGGATCTCAAAGGAGGGGCCTGGCTTGAGGGCCCATTGTGCTTGTTCTTGGGGTCTCAGGGATGAGGGTTGCCCCCGGTTCCAGCTCCCCCATCCTTACCATTTCCCTACCACTACCTTAGCTGAACAAGGTGCCCCTTTCAGCCTGGCACCCCTCTGCCCACCTGCTTCTCCAGGCTTCAAAGGGAAAACAGCCTCCTAAGACAGTCAACAGGGAAACTAGATTCAAAGGACATGTCTGATTTGCCCGTTTTCAAGGCACAGCCACAAGGATTTTGGGAAACTGATTGCTGAGGTCAGGGGTCAAGTAATAGGGTATGTGGGAGGGTATTCAGGACCCGGGAAGGTGTTAAAACACACCCCTGCCCCTGTCCCAGATCCATAACGCCAGATTCTGACCCCAGTAGGCCCAGCTCTCCATCCACTACTCCCTCATTGTCAACAACACTGGGTAAGTGGCCAGTGTGTGGCCAACAGCTGGCT